CTTTTCCTGCCATATCTGAGAAACTAATGACATAATGGAAAAAATATGTCTCTCACTAGCAACATTTGGAATGACATATATTGTTGTTCTTTAAAGTGAAAAAAATGCCCAGCCAACAATTCACACATTGACAGAGCAAACATTTGTTCCAGTTTTCAAGTATCAACTCCTCAGTCCAGGGAATCAAATGCTGCTTTGAAATATGAGAAAAGGTACCCGAAGGATCTGCGGACAGGAACTAATGAAACCTTTCAGGTTTTGCAGGTGAAACTGAAAATAGACACCCTCCAGAATCAGGTGTCTGGAAACTGAATTCCTTGCCAGGACCTCAGGTTGTAAACCTTAAACGTCTTTAAGGCTGAGACGTGGCATGGAGATAGCCATTTTTTTTTTTTTACAAAGGAAGTTAAAGGTCGAGACTTGACAATTCTTCAAAAATAGGCAGATAAAGAGTAATGAGATCTTCATTAAAGGTCTGCGGGCTAACAGGCAAACAAGGAGTCTAATTACTGGCGCAAATTCGCACTTCACTGGGCATGTCGAGAAAGTAAGGAGAAGCTGATTTTTGTCACAGATGATTGGCATCTATTCGTGGGCTGAGACTTAACAACAATATAGAGCAACGATAGTTATTCAACAGCCATAATCTTTTGTCATCTAGTTACCGTTAGACAGGTAAAACCAGACCTTCCAGTCTTTGAAACAGGTAGATCTGATACTACAAATAGAATTTGTTCAGGCATAGCATTGACATACTTATTGTGTTGTCTTTGGTTTGTGTGAAATCCATCAACAGAGACTTAAGAAAACACACAAAGCTGTAAGTTTTTATGTTAAAAAACTATTTACATAATAGTGAGAAGTTACTGCACACATAATCTAATTTCCCAAGTCGGGGAGGAGCCAAGTCTTTAACTTACAGATTTGAAGTTCTAAAAGTACTAATAAACAGAGACTTCAGGTGAGCCATTTATCATAGATCTCTTGATCAAGTCTAGTTTTTTAGTTGGAACCTTTTTCTGCAGGTTTTAAAGTCCAATACTTTGTATTGTTGTACGGTTGTTTTTATTCAGATAACATGGGAAATTACAAAGATGTTAGCTCTATTTTTGCACAACAAATTTGTTATCTCGATTCATATCCTAGAGGGTTCCTTTAATATTTATATATATTCATAGAAAGG